CCCCCCCCCCCCCCCCCCCACCAACCCAAAAAAAAAAAAAAGAGAACTTGATCCACAAAGTAGTGTTTTTTTTTACTATGACACCAAGCATACAGATCAACACCAACAATGCTGGGAATTACGCTACGGAACCGAATTTTACTTTTTAGTATAATACCAAAAAGTAAAAAAATCCCAAAATGTGGTAAATTTCAACCCCAAAATAATGTAACCTTCACCCAAAGTGTAGTAAGTGAACCTAAAAGATAGTAAATGAACCTAAAAAGTGAACGCATCCCAAATGTTTGATAAATCCCACCCAAAAAGTGTTATAAATACCCCTAACGGTTCCCTAATTTTTTCCCCGATACTATAGCCAAAACCCTATGCTGGTTACAGGCAGACGAAGAAGATGTTATTCTAATTTAAAACCACAATCCGTGCCATTAGACATTAATGACATGAGAATGAATGTGGTTGTGTGCTTTCCAGTAGATATGACTAATGATAATGCGTTTAACAGCTTTTATCCCCAACTATTCTCTTTTGCAAACCCTTGTGCAAGGAGATCCTGCTTAAAAGAAAATGAATGGAGTCAAAACTCTAGCAATGACATTAGATCTATGAATTTCACACCCTCATTCAACCATCTTCCCACACCCAAAGAAAAAAAAAAAACAAACATTACATGAAAGAAGGAGAACACATTAATACTGCTGCATACAATGTGGTAATCGACTTAAAATAACATACCATACGAATAACCTGATCTATTAGAGCTTAAGCACGCACACAAACAAGCTCAACTGAAGGACCATCTATGGTCCTCAACACAAGAAACTTGCCTCATACTCAAACCCATCAATATAGAGTTGAAAATTTGCAAAGACAATCCATCTACTCCACTACTCAAAAGCATCATCATCTTCGTCTGGGAGGGGTTGACTAGCTGCTGCAGCAAGCTCAGCTTCATGCCTGTAACAATAAACCAGAAGACGAGGAAAAATAACTACTATAAAACCTAAAATAGGGATAGAAAAAAGATTTTAATTGCCATTTAAACATAAGTCTATATAATCGTATGTTTCAAATTCCGAGCTTGTTTTCCCTAAATTTGGATATAAAAAAAGTAGCGGCCTTTTTTTCATTTCTGTTCCAAATGCAATTTTCACGCCCATTTATGACAAGGCGTTTCACCATGAGTTACATCACCTCCAACCTTCAATTGGACTGAATTCAACAACTAGATTTTGTTTCTATACTAAAAATAATTTTCTTCAATATATCTTCAGGACTACAAACTACAGAAAGAGAGGTCTAAGGACTTTTCAAATTAATAAGAGTTAAAAAAAAACCAAAATTCAGATTTGGCAGTGGAGGAGTTCTTACTGTTGCTGTGCAGCCAAGTCAATGTGAACTTCTGGAGGAGCAAGTGCAGGTGATTCCACAAAATGAAGATTGGTATCCCTAAAATCAACAAAGGACCATCAAATTTTAAGTACACTAATCCAGTTTGTAAACAGAACAACATCAGGGTCATTATTTTTACCCAGCAAGCTTCCGGGCAAGGTACAAGAAAGGCTTCTCAAAATTATAGTTGCTTTTTGCAGAAATCTCATAGTACTGCAAATTTTTCTTCCTGTGAAATGTAACTTGCTTTGCCTTAACCTGCCTATTCTTCACATCAACCTTGTTTCCACAAAGAACAATAGGTATATTTTCGCAGACCCTGTAATTGGCACACGAGATAAACCCAAACTCAAAACCATCGATGGAATAATTCGATAAGATCAACATGATGCATACAGAGATACTAAGAAACATGAAGTCTCGCAAACTAATCAACAAACCTGCAGAGATCTCGGTGCCAGGTTGGAACATTCTTGTAGGTCAACCGAGCTGTGACATCAAACATTATGATTGCACATTGACCGTGAATGCTGCATATCCAAATGAAACTTTAGCATAACAAGAAACCACCTAAAGAGAGCAATTTGGTTCTTATAATGAGGAATAACCTTCACCTCTAAGCAGTAATTGAACTCACGCAATCCCAATGGAACACAAGCATAACTTTGAGGAACAACATTGACACATTGCGATGAATTCCCATCAAAACAACTTAAAAGAATATTTGAAAATAGAATTAAAAACGAGAAAGAAAAGGAAAGAGCTGGCAATTGTATTACAATATGAAGACAATTATAGATATACAAAGAGGGAAATTGGGTAAACAAGACATTAAATCAAAGACAATGATACAGACTCCATTTTGTTCTCCACCAAGGAACCATTCAAATGCATTTTCTTTGCAAAAAAAAAAAAAAAAACAAAGAATTTGGGATGACGTCAAACCTGTAACAGTGAAATGATCAGATGCAAATAACTAGTCCTATTCTGATGATGTAAAAAGTTACAAAGTTATCCTGGTGACTCAAATAATTTTTTGGTAACCCATTCCTTAGACTTCTGAATAAATGGACAAAAAACTTTAAATTTAAACAGGTGACACCCTTTTAATCCCCAGTTTTTTCCATTATAATATCACACAAGAAACTATGACGCATCCGATTTTTTATGTGGCCAACATTCAAAAATTTGTCCAAAAACCTCCTCTGCAGCTCTGCTAGCTGTATTCCAATCCTAGTAAATATTTGGATAACCAAAAGAAATAAACAATAATATAGTAGCCATCCTACCTGCTGCCATCACATACGCAACCTTATAAGTTTTCTTCATCCAGATAATCTATATCTCCACGAATCCGATCACGTGAGAAATTGGAATAAACTAAAGCGCAAATAAGGCCATGGTAATTACCACTTTTTATCCGTTCAAAGCATAGTAAACAAAGAGTCAAATGAACCTGGAGTAGTTCCAACAAAGAGGGAAGAAAAACAAGAAACCCTGAGCAAACCAATTTAATTAGAATTTAGATGCTAATTACTATACTAAACACACGCTACATACAACCACCAAAGATGAAAAGCATGACTCATAATCAAAATTGACTTCTAGTTACATAGCTTCGCAGTACAACAGTACACAATGTCTTGATAGTTCGCACACATATAATGAATACACTAAAAAAAGCTTCAACAATGCAATTACATCTACATGGGTAACAGAGAAATTACACAACAAAGAGTCATTATGATCTGTAATTACTTACTAGTAACCATCTCGAAGACCACCAAATTTCTCTTGCCCAGCAGTATCCCAGCAATAGAAACGGATTTTTCCACAATTGGTGAAGAAGTCCAATGGGTGAACTTCCACACCAATAGTTGCTGTTGTAAAAAGCGACAATAATAAACAATACACAACAAAACAAAACCATATATAGATGGGAAATTATCGAGTCAAATAAACCCAAATCTTTCCTTTACATATTAATGTAATCATATAGAAGTTGCAAAGTACACAAAACCAAACAAAAATTGAAAATTGTATCAAGACACTTACGCTCATATTTCTTCTCAAATTCACCAGTGAGATGCCTCTTCACAAAAGTAGTTTTGCCTGCATCATTCGAAGTCAATCAAGTGCTGTCCAAACCACCGTTGTTGTGGCCAAAATTTTATACCACACAATGATCGACTACTACACATTAAAAAAGTGGGCAAACCGCACTCGAACACCCAGAAAGGCACCAACACCACCACATAACATCACCACACATCAGTCAATATATACATAGTGAGAGAGGAATAGAATGATGGAGACAGAGTTCAACAATGCGAAAGAGTCATTGACCAATCACCGTTGCCTGCTCCTAACACTATATAGATCAATATGTGAAGGAGATTGATAAGGAAAGGTTAGACTAGTAGCTTAGTGTCAATGAGGGGTGAATGTTATTTTACTTTGTCATTTCCACAAGTTAAACATGTTTTTTTATAATTTACATTGCCCCTTCTATAAAGCCTTGAATCTTCCCTCAAAAAAAAAAAATTTAAATAAAGTAGTTGATATTAAAAATAAAGATCATGATGAGCATGAAGACCTAAAATGAGTTGACGAGGACGAAGGAAGTGACCACTTGTTGACATCTTAAGGCAATGACAATAACACCATTGATTTTGAAAATGGAGATTGAGATGAATATAAATTCGCATTAATAGAGGAACAAACAGTTTTGGATTTTAGAAGTCTTCACATTTTAATATAGATGAACTATGTTGAAAAGTTGATTAGTTGATTAGTTAAATTGTTAAATTTTGTTTTGAATCTTCAAGTCTCTTTAAATCTGGTGTCTAATTTGAGTTGAAATGTTACTATATGTGTTATTTTGGGCACTGCATATTTATATGTACAAAAATTTCTCAATGTCTTGTTTCAAATTAAACGTCTCGTATCATACAAGTACGTTACGGTACACAATACATTATTTTTTTGAAAAATATACTTAGAAAGATAAATGCTTTGATAACCTTTACAAGCTTGGTAGGGGTGGAAAGGGGTTGTGTACAGTGAGAAAGACCAAGAGAGAGAGTGTGTGTGTGTTTGTGTGTTTGTTTACAGAGCGAGAGAAAGAAATTGGGAAAAAATAAGGTAAGAGAAAAAAGAGAAGAGTATAAGCATGAGGTTTGATGACAAGTTTATGATTGATCCTTTATAAGGTTTGAATAATGTTCAACAACAAATTTACATTGGGAATGATTGAGCTTGGATATTTTTTATTTTACATGTCTGATTAAGGGTAATTCAATCATTTTGCCAAAGTTGTCAATGCTTATCAGTTAAAATCTCAGATTAGGATCCCATCATGGTGTTATTATGACAAAGCTTGAGTGCAATATGCCAAAAACAAATCATCACATCACTATGTTTTTGAGAACCAAGTATAAAAACAATACATATCTCCAAAATCCAGTTTAAATTATTTCCTTGAAAATAAGACATAATGGGGAGAAAAATTGCATGGAAATGATTTCCTTAAGCATTTACCTTTCATTTCCATGAAACATTCCTAAGAATAAGGGTTGTAAACGAGCTGAATGAACGACTTCGAGCCTGACGTGCTCATTTTTCAAAACAAGCTTGAAAAAATGTTCAAGCTTGGCTCGTTTTTTACAAAAAACGAGCTCGAGCCGAGCACAAAACGAGTCGAACTTGAACCGAGCCTGAGTAGCTCGACTGTCTTATATATAAATGAACCCAACTTTGCGAGCTCGAGTCAAGCTTATAGAGCTCGTTTAAAAATTATTCGAATTCGGCTCATTTTTTAAATGAACAAGCTCGATTCGAGCTGAGTAACTCAAATCATTTATCACCCTTACCTAAGAACCAAAGTTTAATTCAAAAGAGAACAATTATAGAACAAATATTGGGATCCTTCAAATATCACTTGCATATTAGGTATTGAGAACTAATATGATAAAGAAAGAAACATTAGCACTCCTAAAAATAATTTTGGCACTCCAACAAGATCAATTTTTTATCCCTCGTTTGGAGTGCCAATATCAGTTCCCTCACAGGGTCAAAAGAAATATACCTATGCATATAAACACGAGCAAATTAATGAATGAATAAGTCAGAGCACGCGGACACACACACCCCCCCCCCCACACACACACACATGTATGTTTATATACCCGTTCCTCCATCACCAACAATAACGAGCTTAAAACTGGGATAATCGACAGTCTGTTGATTTGGTAGAGCCTGTAAAAGGAACAAACAATAACAAAATCGCTGAGACAATTCCATAAAAACAAACTTACACACTCTAATTCGCAGACTTAAAATGGTAACAGAACCGATCGAATCATACAACCCTAGATCATTATTTGTGTCATTTATACTGAGCTAATTGCCAGATATACTAAAACAAAAAATTGTCATACAAGCAAACAGATCTTTATCGAAATCATATAACAAGTAGTAGTGAGTTCAAAACCCTAGACTCTATTATGTTCGATTAGCTAAATATTACACAAAATTGAAATTTAGAGAGAGAGAGAGAGAGATTATTCAATAAAATTTCTCTCTTTAAAAAAAAAAGTATATAGATTGTGGAAAAAAAAAAGGAGAGAGAGAGAGTTGAAGAGAATGAGAAACAGTGAGTGAGTTGAAAATTGAGACTTACCATTGAATCTGATTAAATTTTGGCGAGGTTCGGAAAGTGAGCGGCGCAGAGATTTGAAGGAAGAGACAGCGGCCAGCCAAGACTGTGGTGTCAGGTATGTGAGTGGAGTATATATACTCGGCTTTAGATGGACGCGAAGTGAGAGAAATAAGGGTAACCTATATATAACTCTCAAATTTTGACTTTTATAACAATAAAGTTCTTAAACTTTTTTTTATATTAGGATTAATTACACTATAGGTCCTCAAAGTATAGAATTTATTTTATTTTAATCTCTAATATTTTAATTGTATCATTTTGGTCGTTAAAATATTGAATATATTTCTACATGGTCCCTCAAGTAGATAGCATTCAGATTGTTAACGATTTTTTATTATAAATTTATCACGTGATACCTAAATATCGACAAAAAAATAATTTGGATAACTCTTGATCAAATTTCTACTTAAATTTTAGTTAAATAGTTATCTAAACTTCATAGTTTTGATCATGAACTATCTAAATTTTGGTCAAAAGTTACTCATATTCCACATTTTTTTTATCAAGAGCTATCCAAATATTGTTTAAGAGCTATTAAAATTATTTTTTGTCTATTTAGGTATTACATGATGAGTTATGATAAAATATTGCTAGCAATATGGACGTTGTCTACTTGAAAGACCATATAAAAACATATTCAATTTTTCAGGAACCAAAATGATACAATTGAAATATTGGAGATTAAAATGAGATAAATTCTATATTTTGGGACCTCCAATGCAATTAACCCTTTATATTAATTAAATCTCTAAATTATTTAATTATAATAATTGAGTCTTTCTGTCTATTTTTGTTAGAGTTTGTCACTCATGTGACTATATAGCATAAAAAGATAAAATAATTCAATTGACACAATTAGAGAGTTCAAAGGTTCAATTGACATAAAAAAAATCAAGAACTTAATTGACACAATATTTATAATTTAAAGATCATATATATACTTTTTTTTTTTAGTCAAAACAAGCAAAATAACAATTTCATTAAGTAGGAAAATTGAGGTTATAATCAGTCACGAGAGAAGCCTTAAGCTCGAGAAGGGGGACTCTAACCAATCCATTAGAAGTGAATTGTTTAGCATATTGGTCGCCACCCAATAAGCAGCCTTGTTAAGGGCTCAAGGCTTGTGTAAAAAGCAAATGTTAAATGACCTAGCAAAGTATCTAATATCCTCCATAATTACACTAATTTTTCATGGGAGAACATCCTCATTTGAGCTTAACTTAATTATATTAAGACAATCATTAACAATTGTAGCCTGAGAGATCAGTTGGGCTTTGACGAGCAGGCACGCCTGCCTTATTGCCTCTGCCTTAGCCAACAAGGATGAAGAAGCAGAGAAAATCTTGGCACTACCGAATTCCAAAACTCCACTGCTCTTGCAAAGAACAACTTTAGATGACACCTTAGCCAACTCAGGTTTGAAAGCGACATCACAGAAGACTCAATAGTCATCCTCCTCCTCCAAAGGAATTGCCTCAGTAGTCTCCTGCTCCTGTGGACCTTCAGACGATCCCTTTCTCTCAATTCTAAACTAGTCAACCCACATGGACTTGGCTCGTAACATTGTGGCATAGGCATTCACCTCTTTCTTATTGAAGACAAATTGGTTTTTGGCCTTCCAAATAATCCATCCCATAGTGGCCAGTTTTCCAAATAATTCTAGTTGTTGTTGCACATCATTAGCCAAGAGAAGTAAAGTCGTGGATCGTTGGGCCACTGACAAGAAAAATGAAACGTTTTCTAGCAAAGCAAGGTCCATTTTGAAACCAGACATGCCTAGTCCAGCTACATTCAAACAAAATATGTTTAATGGATTTTGTTGCTAAATTACAAACCTGGCATGTGACACCCCAAAATTCAAGTGTCTGTAATTACCCGGTTGGTCACGCATCAACCTGCGAAAATATTCATGGGTACCATGTAATTCGATACCACGCCGTTATGCCCTATTTACTAGGGTTCATAACTTAACAAAATTTGGGCAGAGTCTCCTTTTTACAGGGAGCTCTACCCAAAATACAACCTGTACAATCATACAATATTGACCACACCGGGCACATTCATCCATACTCAATAACATAGTATATTATCATAATCATCATCACTACATACATTCATTCATAAAAAAATAAAAGTCTCAAAAGAGTCCCATATACATGCATTTTTAATATAAAAGAAGTTTTCATTTATAAAAATTATACAATGTCAAAAGTAAACATATACAAGGGACTGCAAAGTCAAAATTAGAGCCACAGACCGGCGTTATTGTCAAAGCGGGCCCATTGCCTCGCCTTCGATGGATGCCTGTGTGATACCTAAAAAATGTTCCCATAAAGGATGCATCAACACTCAAAAAGGTAACTCCTATAGAGAATATCTCTCAACCCAAATGCATATAAAATGTCACATAGAACAATCATTTCATACATTCATTCAAATATGTATATTATGAACAAATGTCATAAATTATGTCGTGCTATGAGATGAGACTCACCCAAGCAATACCTACACCGAGCCCTATCATGAGCTCCCACAACACATGCAATGTCATGCGTATGTATCCAGACATTCCAAGCCCCTGTCATTAGTGTTATGTACACTCAATGACTAATTAATTCATTTTCTTTTGTCTTTGTAGGGAAATGATTTATGGTATTACACCAATGGGACACCAACCATCAACAGATTTTTAGGACATCCCATCTGCGGCTCCGTTTTGGCCGTTGCACTTTTTTGGATTTACACCTCCGAAAAGTGTATAAACCAAGTAAGCGAGTCTTGCACCCGAGGGAGAATCTAACCCTTCTTGCTATCCTCGACACGTTTATCCATTTAATTTTTTGTACGACTCAACCGGACCTTTGTACGACTTTCTCGAACCCACAATCAACCACCTATTTGGTGATTGATATCATACCATGCACACATTCTCACCCATGAATGTAATGCAACTCATGCATAGTGCAATACAATATGCAATTGTCTTTGGTCCCATTTACAATATCCATTACATAATGAATGCAATATAATGACATTTTCAACACAATCTCAAGTATGTTATGTAAGATAATCAACTTAACTAATATACATGTATTCACCTAGGCATTTAAACAAACACCTAGAGGGCACATCAATTTACACAACTAGTTTATTTATTACTTTCCATGTGACAAAATTCTTATTAATTCTATAAACATAAGCACAAGTCTACCACAATAATCATATGTTAAATAACCATTTAACATATATATTATTTCATAATCACATAACAAGTAATAATTTTATTAAACTTGATATGCCATTAAAACATAAAGTAATGCTAATATACAATTAATATGCTTTAAATCACTAACATTAACTTACACTAAAAGTTAATCATAATAGGATTTTATTAATTATAATAGAATTTGATTAATTACAAGGTTAATCATAAATGTTAAATTTGACTCATTAGTTACACTAGTCAAGACCTAACATATTATATACACCCTTAGCCTACCCATTTTATATGTCATCTTTTATGTTAAAATTAAATCTAAATAAAGGAAATCCTACCTCTCGTAGCGTGAGCCCACGTACTAGAATTCCAAAGAAGCCCAAATTTAGCTTCCCAAGCCTTAGGTCAAGATTATCGTCTTTGAATTTTTTTTGGAGAAATACGTTATTTGGTGTAAGTTAATGTTATGCCTCATTTATCGAAATTCATAACTTAACAAAATTTGGGTAGAGTCTCCTTTGTAAGGGGAGCTTTACCCAAAACGCAACATGTGTAATCATACAATATTGACCACATCGTGCCCATTCATCCATACTCAATAGCATAGTATCGGATACTATCATAATCATCATCACTATGTACATTCATTCATAAAAGAATAAAATGTCTCAAAAAAAGTCTCATATACATACCTTTTTAATATAAAAGAAGTTTTCATTTACAAAAATTATACAAGGCCAAAAGTAAACATATACAAGGGACTGCAAAGTTAAAATAAGAGCCACAGACTGGCTCTGTCGTCAAAGCGGGCTCATGGCCTCACCTTCGGTGGATGCCTGTGTGATACCTAAAAAATGTTCTCATAAAAGGTGAGTCAATGCTCAATAGGGTAACTCCTATAGAGAATACCTCTCAATCCAAATGTATACGAAATGTCACATGGAACAATCATTTCATGCATTCATTCAAATATGTCTATTATGAACAAATGTCATAAATCATGTCATGTCATGAGATGAGACTCACGCAAGCAATATCAATACCGAGCTCCATCCTAAGCTCCCACAACACATGCAATGTCATGCGTATGTATCTAGATATTCCAAGCCCCTATCATTAGTGTTATGTACACTCAATGACTAATTAATTCATTTTATTTGTGTCTTTGTAGGGAGGTGATTTATGGTATTACACCAATGGGACACCAACTATCAACAAATTTTCAGGACATCCCACTTGCGGCTCCGTTTTGGCTGTTACACTTTTCTAGAATTGCACCGCCGAAAAGTGTATAAACCAAGTAAACGGGTCTTGCACCTGAGAGAGAATCTAGCCCTTCTTGCTATCTCTGACATGTTTATCTATTTAATTTTTTGTACGACTCAACCGGACCTTTGTACGACTTTCTCGAGCCCATGATCAGCCACTTGTGTGGTGATTGATTTCATACCATGCACACACTTCCACCGATGTCAATGCCCATAAATGTAATGCAACTCATGCATAATATAATACAATATGCAATTACCTTTGGTCCTATTTACAATATTCATTACATAATAAATCCAGTGTAATGACATTTTCAACACAATCTCAAGTATGTTATGTAAAATAATCAACTTAACTAACATACATGTATTTACCTAGGCATTTAAACAAACATCTAGAGAGTACATCAATTTACACAACTAGCATGTTTATTACTTCCCACATGATAACATGTTTATTAATTCTATAAACATAAGCACAAGTCCACCACAATAATCATATGCTAAAAAACCATTTAACATATATATTATTTCATAATCACATAACAAGCTAATAATTTTATTAAACTTGATATGTCATTAAAACATAAAGTAATGCTAATATACAATTAAC